TGTGCCAGCGGTGACTGTGGTAGTGAGAGTGTGGAGCTGAACATCGTGGATGAAGAGGACAGAGAGTGGTGTCAGAGGGAAGGAGTCATGACTCGGGAGGTTTCCAGCAACTCTCTGTTTCAGCTACGGTCAGTAACAGAAACAGCAGATTCAACAAAATGCCACTGACCTGATTGCATTCACTCAGTGATCAAACTTGTATGTATCACTTGACAAAAACATAGTACACTGTACATCGGTTACTCACAATAAGAATTACAGAGTTTTGACAACAACTGTCCCCTTTGGAAGAAAAAACCTTAAGTGTATGTTTTTTCTGCTGTGGTGAAAGGAATTTTATCGAAATAACACCTATGGTTAAGAGGTTAAACGTCCCTAATTGTTTAAAGTCTCCAGGCTTTGGGGGCCTCCTGATCTGTAAAAATGGTCTTTCCCATATCTTAGAAATGTCTTGTGCTTATACATTACTTGGATTCATGTACAAATTAGTATATTAATGTGTGTACTATGGACCTTACAACCTTCAATTCAAATCCGTAGTTTGGCTGGTGGTGACTGGATTAACAACAAAAATGGTATTGGTAACTGGAAAGCTATAACTCAGGTGGACCTGAGGACTCGATCTGACACAGCTCAACCCAACAAATCACCTCAGACCACCATCCTGCCAGCTCTGAGGTAAAGCTATTAACTTTGTTATGGCTAGTTTTTTTAGTATTTGCAAACCATCATGAGAGGAAAGCATCAAACAGTCATCATATATCTTGTTTGCAAATCAAAAATAAATTCAATACTTCATAGCATGTGAAAAGAATGAATTATCATGTAATATATATCCTAAAACGGATGTCGAACTCCAGGCCTCGAGGGCCGGTGTCCTGCAGGTTTTAGATCTCACCCTGGGTCAACACACCTGAATCGAATGATTAGTTCATTACCAGGCCTCTGGAGAACTTAAAGACATGTTGAAGAGGTCATTTAGCCATTTAAATCAGCTGGATCAAGGACACATCTAAAACCTGCAGGACACCGGCCCTCGAGGGCTGGAGTTCAACACCTGTGTCCTAAAACATGTAACTGAAATATGGGTTCCTGAAAAAATTGATTTTTTTCTTTACATAGAATCATGATAATAATCAGGACACCATTAGTCTGTTTAGGGCTAGGATTTAATTACATTTTTGCCAATGTTGGTTGTTTTTTAGCAACATAGTAATGAAGTGTTTTATTGTACCAAATTGAATAATTACATTAGTTACTATTATGTTGTTATTGTGTTACAAAGGTTCTTCAGTTATCTGTGTGCCAGATAGAAAGAAAAAACAAAGATTTTTTTCCTCTATCTGCTACAGTCAACAAACTTTAGTTGGTGTGCAGCAGGAAGACAGTGGTAGAGCAGTGCAATGATACAGCCATAGAGTTTTTGAGTTGAGTTTTTGGGCATTACTTTTATTATATGAAAGATGTGTGTGATGGTGAAATGGAAACTAGGACAGAAACTTTATTGTACTGCTAAGAGAAATTTGGCTCTTTGCAATCATCTGTACAGACAGCATGCTAATGCTAAGCTAGCCAACAACCCAGAGTGATATTAAATCTCAGTGTATGCTGACCCCAGCATAGCAGAGTCTGATCAACAGTTCACCAAGACAGTGATGAGCAGTCAGGCTGTGCCCTCTGTTTGTACCTTTTCATGTTTCTAAGGTAGAATCACTTTGGGGATCTGGGTCCTGGTTTTTCATCTTCCTTTGTGCTGTTGGTTTTATGTTCATAACTAGGAACGGAAGAAAAGATCCCGTGCGTTTCCTTCTAGGGTAGGGATTTGTGTTATTGTTTGGGACTGTAGCCTTTAGTATGGTAATCAGGTGAAAATGCATTTCAGAACATTTTGCAGAGCAACAAAACAAGTGTAACAAGTAGTGTGCTGAATTACATTCACTGGCAAGGAGTTAATTACCAATACACATTATTTTTAATAAAAATCCATTACTTCTTACATTACTTTTAAAAGCTTTGTGTGTTTCAAACAGGCAAACATTAAATAAAAGTGCTTGTGGTAACAAACCTATCCCTAGCCATAGATAGGTAGCTATGTAGCTAATGAAGTAAAGTTTAATAAACAAAAGTGATTTTGGATATACAAAATCTTTAGAGCTAGAGAGAAATATATTGTCTTTGCACTTATTAAAACCACAAGACAGTTCTACCTTTTAGGCGAGAATTTTTGACCTGTGATATCTCTGTGCCAGAGTTCCTTCAAACTGTAAGAGAGAATTCAGCCTGTTGGCCTTTGATCCTGATGGAGACGAGGTTCAATGCAGATATGGAGACACAGCAGCAGATGAGTGTAATCCTTGTACACCACCATCTCTTCTAACCATCACACCAGTAAGTTAAAAGCATTTTCATCTGTCTCAAGCTAAGTGTCACAAAGTTAAGACGTTATTATTCTTCTGAGGT